TTGAATTTAATTTTATATTTTTTTGCTTCAATTAATTACCAATTAATCTCGACCATATCATGCTTACATACTTGCTTTATTCATTTCAAATTTTATCCTTTCAAGATTTACCATTTCTTTAACTATTCATCCTTCTTATTTTGCATCTTTATATCTCACTTCTAATTGCTCTGCTGCTTTTTCTTCACCTCTATTTATTTCTCTTTGATTCTCTCCCTCTCCTTTTTTTTCCTTAGTATCTGCATAATTATTTTGTTTTATTGATGTTTCTAATCGACATCAGTTTTAAAGTTGTTTAAAAAACATAAACATTAAATTGGTTTATACGAAAGATTTAATTCAATTTAACTACTTTTTTCCGTATGTTTTTCAATTATATACTTTTCTTCCTTTCCTTTCCATCTTTTTTTCATGAACCATATGTATTTTAGTCAATCTAATTATAACGCAGAAGCGTAAATATATACGTTTACTCTTTCAAAAGAAGTTATTTCCGTAACTGAATCAAATGACCGTGTAATAGCTATCGATAATCTATAACTTTCAGTCATAAAAATGTGATAGGTTAACAGTTACATTAGTAATCCTTTATTAAGTAATTACTCTAGAAATTTTATAATTTTTATGTCTTTTATTATATTAATTTAGCAGTTCATTGTTATGGTAATAATTAAATTTAAGTTTGAGAAAACTGAACCATAAATTACCACACATTATGTAAAAATGTCATAGCATTATAGTTGAACACGTATGATTACGTTTATTGTATATTTATTGTATAGCTGGAAATTTCTTTTTAAGCTGGATGATTACATAACTGGTAAAATTTTATCGTTAGAAGACGATCAAATGGCCCTACGAGAACTGGGCGCTACCAAAGCACAGGCGGTTTGTGTTATAGATTTCCACGGGTAGTTGATTTAAAAAAAAAAAAAAAAAAAAAACGAAGAAAGAAAGCACGGAGGTGAGTAGGCAGAAGAAGGAGGAAAATTGATTAGATTGTTGTCGTACGCGATTTAAATAATAAAATTGGCTTTTTTCTTCATGGTTTTGAGGAAACTGAACCATAAATTAACATTAAATGAAGTGTTGCATCTTTTATGAATTTATACTTCTTTTTTCCCAATTCAACAAATAGCTTATAATGTTGATGTATGTAAATTAAATTATAGCTTCCGGTAACTTATGGTTGCACTGATGGCATAACAACACTGACGTCGACATTACGTGGTACTACATCCTCAAAAGGCCGACTAATTCCTGGTGCAAATAATTCTTGTAAGTTTTATGTATAGATTTTTGCAAAACTTAGTTTTGCTTCAATTGAATTTTCGAAATTTCTCATATTTCAGTGCAGAATACGGTTTCTAGGTACCAGTCAAGTACCTTTATCTTGTTTAGTGGCATATTATTCTTTTTGTCTCTCTATTTTTCTTTTTCCAGTGATGAAAGAAAGGTAATCTGTTTTAGTTGATTCGGGTCAAAGTATATCGCCTATAAGCTCGATATCAATTAGTGGCTCAAATTGTCGCCAGATAGTATCATCAAGCGCTCCGGCTAGTAGTTTAGACATGGAAACACTAGTACGGAATGTTAATCAAGATATGGGCAGTGATCAAGATTTCTATCGTGAAAGGAGGAAAAAGGATATACATAATATGAGTAAGTTTATTATATTTTCAAATGTTAGACTCAAAATTTGAAAAGCCAAGAGGTACGGAAATAGCGAAAATATAATTTACGGTGCATGATAACTGTGGCTTTACTACACTTCAGCACTTTCTTTTTTTTTCAAGATCAAGATCAAAAGTGTAAGAATCGGACTTCTGGAAAGAGAGAAGAAAGAGAATTGGAGAGAAAAGAATCGGGCCTAAGCTAGGCCTAAGAGCGATTGCTTATAATTGTGATCGCTGAGGGAAGTCCATGATTCTCCATATATGCCATACTGCTCACTATACAAAAGCAGCAGTAGATCATTTACTTGAATTTCCATTGCTTAAAAATAGATCAAATAACATTGTCCGCAATTTCCTCAGCAGATAATGTGACATGTTTCTCTTACAACAATGCTTGTTGGTTTTTTATTTTTTATACTGTTACTTAAATAATTTGTAAATGTTTATTCTTATAGTTGAGCGAAGAAGACGTTACAATATTAATGATCGTATAAAGGAATTGGGACTTATGCTTCCTAAAAGTTCATCCGAGTAAGTGCTTCAAAATTTACGAGAGATTCCTTTTTCTGGACTTTTTTCTCTTCATCAGAATTAACTTTCATCTTTATTATCAGGTCTTTTTTTTTTTTTTTTTTTTTTTTTTTTTGCTGTTGCATGTTATACATTTTTTTTTTTTCAAAACAATATTTTGAATTAGTCTACTTGTGAGTATTGGTTATCTTTCAGAGAACTGAAGCTGAATAAAGGAACTATATTAAAAGCCTCTTGTGATTATATCCGGCAACTGCAGAAGGATCGTGAATTGATGTTACGGCAACAGCAATACCAGGCGAGGTTGGAACAGGCAGCACGGATGTATGCTGAGCGAGTTAAAGTTAGTAAATTCAGTTGATTTAATTAATTTTCCAGTATTTCAATTTATTCTGTTCGGTAAATTTCACGAGTTAGCTATGGTTAAAATTTCGGACTTCCAGGAACTTGAAAATCATTTGCAAAAAAATGGCATTGCAATACCGCCATCTTCGGTAAATTTGCCACCAATACCACTATCATCATTTTCGAGCGATGAACGATCAATAAAACAAGAACCATTCGATGAAATTCCTCCTTCACCTTCCCACACGTCGTCTAATTGTATTGTTGGTTTTTTTTTTTTTTTGCCTATTCTTTTTCTTTATATATATATATATAGACTGAAGTAATAGCCTAAATGGATTTGTACAGTAAAAATATCTCACAAATTATTGAAAATTTAATTACTTTTTTTTGCTAATATAATGATAATGATTTCTAGCGATGTGATAAAAAAAAAAGCGAATTTAGCATATTTTTATCACTTCCTGATTTTCTTTCAGAACTCCACTGGATTTGTGTCACAGTTAACTGATACAACAGCTGCCATTTCAATCAATAGTCCAGTATCCAATCTTAATAATCGTCGAGATGGTGGTTCATTTTTGAGGTATATTTTTAAATGAACAATCGACAGCATATTCCATTGAGGTAGCTTATGTTATGTTGGTAGTTTTTTAGTGCAACAGATAATCCATATTCTACGAATACTTTTACTCAGTCAAATGCACCGTCGTTGAATTCTCAACAACAAGGATTTCCAGATCTTATCATGGATGATTTAAATGCAATGCGTTCCATTTTACAGGTTTATTTTCATGCTATTTGAGTTTGATTTAGTCTCATCCGACTTTTTTTTTCATTTTTTTTTTCTGCACGAAATATCTGCTTTTAAAATATTTCGCTGTTTCACTTTTGATTAGTTTATTAAAATTTATTTATAGGATGACCCGATGATATCAGCAGCTGGAACTGGTCCATCACCGTCAACTAATTTGAATAATCAGTTGTCACCGGATATACTCTGGGATCATGCCAATTTCTCGCCGGATAATCAACACAATCAAAGAGCTACAACCAATACTTATCATCAGCAAGCCAATATGGATTTCACTTGAATACACTGTCCATGTTTGGATACTGTTTTTTGATGGTTTTTCAGTTTCAAATATTCCTATAATTACTTTGTTCCTATCATGATCAGTGAACTTCATTTATTTCATGCATACAGATGCATACATCGTTCATTTTACACATGCTACTCTGTTTCCTCTTGTTTGTATATATATATATATATATATATATATATATATATATATATATATATATATATATGCGGGTGCGTTTATCTGCATGTTTTAGAGAACCAGAAATGTTTTTTTTTATTATTATTATTTTAGCTATGTCCTTTATTTTTTGATTTTGTACAGGGTACATATACGGGATTTTGCTATGCGGGACTGGTGAAATGATTGAGAAAGGAAATAGAATAACAAATGATTTTTTTCGATATTGTTAGCTAGCTTTGATATAACATTTCTGGATTTTGCAAAAAAAAAAAACCGGTAATCCCGCATTGTAAAAATGTTAGCCCCGAAATTCAGGAATTTCATTCATGTTGTGTATGTTGTCGGGTTTCCCTCTTTTTTTGCAGGAGTTTTATCAATTTTAATTCAATTTTTGTTTCTTTTTGCAAATTTTCTTTCCGACATACTTTTTTTTCCCATGAATTTATGATGTTATGGGTTTAAAATTTTTAAGTTTATAAAGAGATATCACTGTCGCAATGTTGAATGAACAAATTGCATTAATCTTTTACTTACTGGATTAATTTCAGATTTCAAAGTTCTTTTTCATCATTTTTAAAGTTAACATATATATATATATATAAGCACTTGGTACTATTTCAGAACAAATCAAGTTACAATGTCCATTTCATAACTTTCTATCTTTTATTATTATTGACCATAACATAGGAATATTAGGAATATTTTTGTCATCATTTGGTCTCATTAATACCCATAAAAATTCATCATTACAGGCTATGGAAATTTTTTCTAATTGCACTTGGGTGACAAAATTTATGGATTGTTTTATGCAGACCGTACAAATAATGCCTTTTTATCATGAACTTTTTTTTTTTACAAATTGAATTCCTCATAATTTGTACACTTTCCATTTTTTTTCCGTCTTTGGTCTGTAAATATATGTAAATGGATTTTTTTCTCTCAATAGATTTGATACTGAAATGCGGGATATGAGGTTTTTACCTCTTTCTTTTTTTTTTTTTTTTTTCTTTGATACAACCAATTCACACAAATATGAAAGAGCTTTAAACAAATCAGAATAATTTGAGAATTTTGAAAACTATCTGGTTACTATAAATGATTCATATCATTAAAAAAATTGAAAATTTCTGTGAAATAAAATGTGTAACCAAGAATAGATAGTAATTTTTTTTTTCCTTATACATCATACAGTGGTAACGGATAAAATTCCGTCAATGGGACGACTAGAAATATCACTATTAGCATGTGCCATGAATTCTTGAATAGTGGTAAATTTGTCCAGCAATGGATTACCTTTTCGGCGCATCATCTTTTTGCGTGATAACTGTACAATTAACTGAAGAAAAATGTGGAAGTTTAATGTTCTTATATTACCATTTAATGCATATCATACGGACAGATTCGGATACAGTCGAGAAAAGGAAGTTTATTTTGTTCATTACAGTTATAAAATTAGTCGATTATCGCAATCTTTAATTGCATGCAGAATCATCACTCACCTGATCTGATGGTTGTTGATTTCTTTGAGCCATTAATTGATGATATCTTAATTTACGTTGTTTTGCTCGTTCCCATTGCTTTTTACGCTCTTCTCGAGTCCAAAATCGACCAGTTTTCAGTTCACTCATTGCATCATCATCCGTACTTACACCTGTACGTTCCTAAACAACAATTTTTCCAAAAAGAAAGAATTTCTGAAATTTAAAAAAAACGTGAAAAATTTCGCATATTTTAAGCTACAAATCCAATCAGAAGAAAGAACTAAGTAACTTACTTTATTTAATTGTTCTTCTCGTTCTTTCAGTAATTTATTTCGAATTGGCTTCCTAGTGACATATCGTGTCCCATCTGAACGCCTTTTAATCTAAAATAGTGTCCTCGTATATGTAGCAAATTGCATCAAATGTTAAGCTATACAAATTTTATAAATTTCTTTGAAAATATTTGAAATGATACTACAAAAGATAAATTTTAGTGATTTTAATAATTTCAGTTTTAGAGAATTAAATTTAAAGATTTGAAATTAGTAGAAGTATGAAACATTTGTTTTGGAGTTTTTTTTTTTTTCATTTAATTTATAAGTACAAACGACATAATTCATAATTTTGAACGAACTTGGTGCACTTAAGTATGGTAATATTGTGAAACATTCATTAAGCAAGCATATAGTCTTAAATAAACTGAAATATAATTATATTTTCAAAATTAAAAAAAAATTCCTCTTACTGAAAGTGAATTAGATAAGAGGGAGAAATGGGTCAAACTTTAGTATTTCAGCTTCAACAATATTCTGTAAGATTATTTATTGACGTATAACATCAGATTATTGACGCATTATGTCAGATTACTACTTCTAATTCGTTATTTTTAATTAATACAACAAATTTTGTTTAGCTTATTTCTGAAAATATTGTCAGTTCTATATGATTCCCGTAAAAATAAAATTATTCGATAAAAATTATTAAACTTTCATTAGTATTTATTTACTTATTTTAAAATATCTTTTCAGCTAACCAGTATTATATTACTTTTCAAGAAATGCTTCCTGAAATAGTACCGTAAATAAAATGGAAACAGTAAATGTTCATTCTTTGAGTCAGTTTCAGCAATAAATAATCTTTGGAATACAACAACTGCGAAATGTACCACAAATGATGAAATTAATTCAGTTTACAATTGAAAGGCTTGACAAATTGAAAGTTAGTGAAAAATAAAAATAAAAAAAAATAGAAGGTATAAAAAACAATAAAACAACCTCAAACATTGTTATAGGCAGTATGAAACTTTCAAACAATATTATATAAAGGTAGCAGCTAATTTTTTGGAATGATACTTATTATTTAATTTTTGCTTTCCTCTTTCTCTCTTTTTTTTTGATTTTCGAAATTCTCGAACTATAAGTAATACTTTGACAACATATAATTTCTGAATTTATTAGCAAAAAAGAAAGGTAAGAAAAAAAAGAAAAAAAGATTTTCTCATATCAATGATTTAATTAATGCATATATATTATATAATTCAAATATTAATTAGCATTATTTCTAAAAGTAAAATAAAAATATTCTTTACCTTCCATTCGCATGCTTCTGGAATTTTGTCATTCTGAAATTGTTTCATTATTGTTCCTTCTATCCTTCCCATTCCTCTTCGTCTTTCATCATTATTATGATTATTTGTGGTAGCATTATTAATTGTACCACTTTTAGCTGATGTTCGTAGCATATGCGCTTGCTCAACCATTGCTTCACGTAATAATCGTTGTTGGAGAGCTATTGTTTCCGCTAATTTTTGTGGCATCGTATACATTGTTATGCCAGCTTTATCACTTTAAACAGAAAGAAAAAATGCAGGTAATACAAATTAATTAATTGATTAATTTAAATAATTTTTTTTCGTTATCATCTTTCTCAACATATTTATTTTGCTATTATTTTCTCTTTCATATAATTTTATGCTTTTTTTCTTCATTTTCTTTCTTTTTTTTTTGCTTCAAATTGAGTACAAAATGTGAATTATAAAATAATTCCTGTAATACACAATAGAAATAATGAAAATTCCATTGAGAATTATCAGACGAAAAATTTGTAAGAACACATTCTTACAAATTAATTCATATTTTTATTATGATTCATCTTATTGGAATAATTTTATTATGATTGATTTTATTAAAAATAGGAAGGAAAGAACTTAAATCATATCTTACCTTTGTGACCTATAAGGTTCATTAACCATTTGTTTCATCAATGGCCTTTTTCCATCATTCATTCTCAATTCTTCTTCTTCATTTACTTTTGCTGTAACATGTCCTTTTTTTCCACTTTCTCTTAAAATAACCGAATATTGTGGTAATCTGAAATTAACAAAATTTAAAAAAAAAAAAACGATTTCTTGATATCCCATTAATTAAACATTTTTTCTTCAATTATGAACTTTAAAATCCTTATCCCGATATTCACTTTTCTTTTTTTTTTTCTTGAGCAATATTATAAGATAAAAAATTACCTAAATTTAACTTGCGAAATTTGAGAAGTAGATGGCTTCTGTGAAGCTATACATCGAACTGTATCGCAAGCAGAGCCATCTAATATTGCACAATTATTATGTGATTGCATATTATCGCTACTTCTGAAAATTAATTATGACATTAAAGTAAAGTGTTCTTTACGAAATTATAAAGTTAACCGTTAAAAAATTTTAAAATTAAAAGGAAAAACTTTTTATAGATTTACTTGTCTATTGATCGATACTTCAATTTTACATTCGTTCGTTTACATTCGTATATGTGCAAATTAAAGCAAAGTGAGCAGCGATTATTTCGTATAGCCAATAATTTATATTTGTAAGCAATTAGTAATTTTCTTTTTGGTGCAAAAAAATTGAAATGAAGTTTTCCATTTAATAAAAATTAATTAGAATTAATTAATATAAAATTATCAAATAGAATCACATTTGAATTTACTTTTTAGTTTGAGCAATTGCATCTGGTTTCAATGGTGTACTGCGACATGATTCACCAGTATTATAATCACTTGATGTATCATCCAATTTTCGTTTCACATCATCATTTAATTTATATACATTCTGATCATTGCCTGCTACATGTAGCATCTAAAAATTCAATTAATTGCAATCAAGCATTTTGATTAGTTGATTGCTAGATTAATGAATTATTTGATTAAATTGCTTTTTACATAATAATAAAATTTATTTTTCGGGATGTGTTACAACTTCAAACAATATTCATAATTTGCAATTCACAGCTTAAAATTGATGTTAAATTTGAAAACAAATTATGATTAAGTTGTAATATTTTTGATGTTTTTTCATAAATGAATCTTTTTACATTTCATTTGACTAATTATTGCCACTTCTCCTCTTCAACGCTAATTATTAAAAATATTTATGAATGAATAAATTTACCTTAGGAAAACCACGTCCACTATCACTATGTTTCAAGATTAGCCTATCACATTCCATACGTATAGTTTCCATTTCCCGATGTAACGATGCTAATTCGCGTTCTAAAGAACACTCACTTGCGCATCTAAAAATAAAAATTTAGTTGAATTCAAATTCAAATCAAGTCAAAACTTATCTATAAACGTAAAAAGAAAAACTTAGCTCAAAAAGAAAATAAAGAAAAAAAAAAGCTTAGAAAACAATCCAAAATTGCTAAATTTAACAAAGTAATTCCTGGTCCTTTTTTTTTTCCTTCGGGAGTTTTTCTGAAAGCTGATATGTAAATTATTTTAATCAAACCTTCTCAAACTAAAATCAGTTACTTCCGGTAAATCATTCAGTGAATCCATTGATTGATTTAAACTGCTTGCTATTGGAGCAGGTAATAATTCCGGATCCGAATCAGTCATTCTTGATAGTCCAGAATCCTAGGACAAAATATATTGCATTAAGTAACATAGCAATCTCCACTGATTAGATACGTACGAATAAATTAAACATTAAAAAATCAATACTAGAAAATATAATCCAGGGAAGTTTTGTCGATTTTAAAGTTTTGATTCAACAATACCTCTCTTTCTCTCCCTTTCTCTTTTTCTACAAAATAAAAATGAATTTTCTGGATAAAGATTTCAAGAATATTTCCGCTTTCAAATAATCCTGAAATCCTTTACTATCCAAAATGTGTTATATTAGAAAACAATTAACCTTTTCAAGGGTGGAATTACTGGAATTAGCATCGGTGAGTGCACTTTTATCGTCATCATTACAACCTTCACCCGTTGGTTCCAATAACAATTCAAATTCTTCATTCTAAACAAGAAAAAAAAGAAATTGAAATTTACAAATTTTTAAATTTTTTCATCTATTATCTATTATCACTTATTTTATTATCTATATATTATTCATTTACTTAAGTAGTATAATAATTATTCACTTAATAATATTAGTTATACATATACACACACATACCCAAACTACATACATACATACACTCCTGTTGCTTCTAATAGTTACAAATAATTAATTAAAATAAAAGAAGTAACCTGAATAGAACGAGCAAGTAGCAAAGATATTTCATTACCGCTATTACGAAATTGTTTTACAGCATTAGCACGACTATAAATTGTTTCACCGTTTACCTATAATAATACATTGTTTAGATTTATTGCAATAATTTCAAAAATTTTAAAAATAAAGAAGAATTCTTTTAACTTGTCTTCTTTGTTTTTTTGCCTTAACAATTGTTGCATTCAATTTTGAAAAGAAAAGAAAATTTTAATCCTTTTCTCTCTTTTGTTTAAACTTTTCGAAATGAAAACGACAAATGCACACCTGCAATATTTGATCACCCGGCCTAAGACGCCCATCACGATCTGCGACACTTCCACTTTCAACCTAAAAAATTTACACTATTAAATTTATAATGAGCATGCAATGAGTATTTGCCAGTATTTAATAATTCAAAATTTAAATGACTTTTTATAAACACTGTAAAGAATAAAGTTTAACTCATTGAATTCAATTTCTTATCATATTAATATATCAATAATAAAAAATTTTAAACAATCAGAAAAAAATTTTTTAAACTAATTTTTATGAACATAGTGTGTAGAAAATATGATCTAAAATATAAAAATATTGAAACATTCCATTTAAATAATCATTTATTAACAAAGCACTAAAATGTTTATTTAAACTACATTTGCTAAATGAATGGTAAAATCATATCAAATGTAATTATTTGTTACTTATCTTAACTTTTAAAAAATAATAAATATCAAGTAACCTCGCCAATGAATATATCAGTATCATTATTGTTTGCAGTGTCGTAATATAATTTTAAGCCTAAACGTGGACAATTTTTTGATTTTTCCAATATAACTTCCTGCAAAAGAAAAATTTTTAAAGAAAAATAATAATTATACTTAATCAACAAAGAAAGAAAAAACAAAAACTTTTTCGGACTTCAAGAATAAATATAAATTTTTTTTTCATCTTTCAACTAAATCAACAAATTTTTAAATTCTAAAAACAAAGTTTAGAAATTTTTGCAACATTTTCTTCTTAAGCATCTTTTTCGTCTCGTTGTTCTTTTTTTTTTTCTTTTTTCTTCCTTTTAGTAAAGATGGTATGATTGTAAAATAAAATTATCATCAGAAGTTATCCATAAATTTGCAAATTGCTTTTTCAGTGGCAAAAAAAAGAAAAAATAATTCTTGTTGATAACAAGACTTGCAAAAGAAAAAAACGGGGGAAAATTTTTGAAGTATTAAGAATTGATGGAACGAAAGAAAGAAAGATGAAAAAAGAAAAAGAAACTTGTCAGCCAATAATGACGGCATCATCTTTTTTTTTCAAAAGCTTTTTTAATATTTCATTTTATTTTTTCAGTTTTACAAAGAATTGAGGTTATTATGATTACTTACTTAGTAAATATTACATAATAATATGATACTGCTAAAATTATTGCACCAAAAGAGCAAAATTGGAGATAAATTGAACAAGAAAAAAACATTAAAATTATGAAATCGGAAACAAAAAAAAACGGACAATTTAATTACTAAATATTTGTAGACGCTTAAAAATAATATTTAGTGATGAAATATAAATGTAAAAGATTGAAAAATTAAATAGAAATATAAAATTTTCATATGAAGTTTTTGATAAATAAGCGATTTTAATCTGGAATAAGTTAATAAATCTAATATTAAAGAAATAAAAATATATCAATAGCAAGCTAGTAGTACTATCCAAATATCTATTTAAAATATTTAAATTATCATGAAGTATCATGAAGCATATTAAGTAATTTTTTCTTTTTTTTGTAGAATATTATATGCCAGTCAAAATGATCGCATTTACTGATTTTCTTTGGAATTTAAAAACAAAATAACACATATTGGAATATGATGCAATTTCAAAAAACAAATTACAACTTTAATAAATTTTCTAGAACAAAAAACAGAAAAAAAACAAAAAAAAAAAAAAAATGAATTGTGGATAAAAGATTAAGATTCAAGTATCGGGAGCAAAAAATAAAAAACTTAAAAAAGATCTCACAGTTCAAACTGTATGTTTTAATATTTTCATAATTCCTTTCGGCTCAAAAGAGGCATTGCAATGACGACGTTCTTTAGCAATCGAATGTTGCAGTAAATCACATTTTTTCGAGGAAATGCTTTTGAAGTTTCGACTTCTTAACTCGAAATTTAAAAGTTTTCGAAAAAATATATGTCCTAACCGGACGGTTGTAATAGAGAGCTATCAAAAATGATTATTTATCAATCTATTGAAAGAATTTTAATCACTTAATCAAATCACTAAATTTAAACCATCTGTTGATTGTAATTAACTTTTTTAGTTACTAATAACATAAAATGTTTCAAATTTAAACTAACATTTCATTTAATCATTTTTTCAACTTCTCAAACAAAAATGGGAAATATATTACGCTATCTATTAACATTCCTAATTATTGGTGGGACAATAAACAATAAGGAAACAAATACTAACCTCATATTCGATACCACTTAATTCATTGCCACAATTTGCATAATATGCTTCCATATGGTCACTAAAAAAATTTTTAATGGAAATTAAAAATTCTCGAAGTCTAACAATGAGTCATTTAAATTTTATAGCTCCTCATTCGTCCCTCTCCCTTCTTTTTCATACAACTGTGATCAATCATTTGAATAATTCAATGCAATATTCAATCCTTTTCGATAAATTTTTTCTCACTGAGAAAAAAGAATTTTATTTGAAGCATTTCGTACGCATATGCATTTGTTAACGCAAGTACAATTTTTTTTCCTAACTATTTATATTTTTTATAAAATTTTAATTTCGTATGAAACTAATAAAATCATTCTTGAAATTTGACAAAACTTCTTGCCATAATAATCGAATTAAAATTAAAATCAAAACAAAAAAGGAAGAAAATAAACAAAAGAAAGGAAATGAAAAACGAAAATAAACCTTTCTAAAATAATAGTGAAATTGAATATAACATATACATATATATATATATATATATATGTAAATATAATGAACGATGTGAAAATATTATAAAGCACAGTTAGTGACAGCTGTTGCTAAACTTTCCTCGTTACCTTTACTCTTATTCCTTCCTCTCCTTCTTCCTCTCATCCTTTTCTCATTTTTGCGCTTTTCTTTCGTTCATCTTCCGCTTTTCACCCTACCTCTGAATGATGGTTAAATTTATCAGAACTTTTAAGAGAAAAACGATGAAAAAGCTCACTATTACTAACCAGTTGTTGTACGTTATATTCCACACAAACTTATCATTTATGCTTTTTCCTCATTTTCTTCTTTATTTCTTTTCTATCTTTCCTTCTCTTTCCTTCCTTTTTCCTCTCTCTTTCTCCCTCTCGTATCAAAACTACCATTTATTTAGACAAAAGCGTTTTGGAACTTGAACAGCAAACTAACAGCAAGTACTTCATAACAACAGGAACATCACATCAACTAAAACTTCATTTTTCCCTTTCTTCATTTGGGATTTTTTGAAATTTTTCATTTTTGAAAAGCACTGACAAATATCATTCGTACTTTTTTTAAAAAAATTAAATTCCCTTACATAATAATCAATAAACCAAAATACATATATTTGGACAACTTTATAAATATCATAAAATGGAATAGTTGCATTGGAATGGTAAAATTAAGCCTGAATAAGTGGTAATTTTCAAGAAATGATTAAAATATGAAGAGAAAATTAATAATTATTACTAATGCTATTATTGGAGATAACTTACCTTTATCAGAAGAAACTGAAATCAACCTTAACGATAATATGCATAGAATACACTAAAAATTGAAATTATAAGTAATCAGTGCTGATTAACAATAATATGAATATTAATAGTAATAATGATAAATTATAAATAATTAATAATAGTAATAATAATGATAGCAAATAATAATAATAATAAAAACAATAGCGGTAAGTTATCCGTGCTAAATTTTTTTTTTTTTGTTATAATATTTCTAGCACTGATGTAGTGTTCGAAATCGTTAAGACTTTTAAGTGGGATTCTCTATAACGCTGTAATGCTATATGATCCGATGAAATATCACGATTGAACTCGAACATATAGCAAAAATTTGAAAGGGAAAGGAATGAAATTCAACGAAGATCGGAATTTTTGAAATTTTATAATTTATGCAAAAAGTAATTGTCCGGAAGCTTTCCTTTTGCTAATGCATGGATGATAGAAGTTGCAATTTTAGAAGCGTAAAGTTTTGAGATTACTGGAAATGTTTTATAAGTTGATATCTCTTTGCAATAACAACATCGCATGATTCCGTTTTAAATTAATTTTTGAAATTTAGTCAAAGTGTGTCAATTTTTTAAAGTATTAAAATAGCATACCTATCAAAAATTGCTGAGTTAAATTTGCTGCATCCTTTTATAGTAATTTTATCAATTCCCCTGCCACTGTTCCTTTCCTCTTTGCTATTGCTTTCCGCCAGTTGTTGAAAATTCGGTGTTACTTCTCCTTCCACCTGGTTGTATAATTTTCTGCTACCATCCATTTCATCAATCAAAAGCTTCAAAATTAAGCTTAAATTTCGAAACTTCTGTTTTAATATATATAACTGTTTTATCAATGATATACGAAAGGAATCCAAGAATAAATTTAACACTTAAATTTGATATTTCATAATATTTTTAAAATTTTAACAATATTATTTGATCCATATTTGTCCTTTAAAATTTGTAATAGCATAAACGAAAAGCATATAGACAGTAAAATGCTTTATAAAATAAATTGAAAATTTTTGCAAAAAGCAGAAATTTTAATTGAAACAAAATTAATTCAATAAAATGGAGAAAAAATTAAAAAAAAATGGATCGTTTTCAAGAGAATAAACAGAAGGAACAAAAAATTGTGTGTTATATGATTGAAAAGGATTATTTTTAATATTAATTGGAAATAAACGAAAGAATGGATACGATGTGACTTTGTCATATCATACTGCCATGCTTAATAAATGTCAAGTGGTCATATACTTCAATTAAAATTTCACTATATGTCCTTTTTTTTTCTTTTAAACGGCTCAATTTAAATTTAGATTTAGATAGTACCGTAGACTTTTATCATTTGGCAGCTTTTTTAAAAATATAAACTGCATTGTATACACAATAATAAAAAATTAAAAATATTTAAAAAACAATAATCATTTGAAAAATGCAATATATTCCATAACTACTTATTGGAATTCTTCAAAATTTGTTTATAACATGAAAATTTAATAGCCAAAATATTTGCATTTATCTACTACTTTAATCGAAAAAAGCTGTAGAAACTAACATTTGTTCATTTATTATTTGTTTATTGGGATTGAAAAACTCAACTAACATCAAAATTTTACGCTATTTCGGAATAATATTGAGAAACATCCCTATAAAATAGTGAAAAATAGGAGTTAACAAAATGATTGAATATTTTCAAATGTATTATTAGTCGGATAATGGATGCAATTATTGTGATAGATGAATGGATTGATTGATGATAATATAAAAAGCTAATGAAATCAAACTTTCTCTCTTGATAACATCAATGACATATGTTTAAAAACATGTGTTATTTTCCAAATTTCCACGTCATCATCAAATCTTCCATATAACTTTAGGCTGCTAAAAATTTTGCAAATATTTTGACAAAAAAAAATCCAATAAGTTGAAAAAGAGGAAAAGAACAAAATTATCTTATTCACTAATGATACTATTCAAATAATATTATGTGCAAATGATAAATTAAGCTAAAATTTTCTGAAATGTTGCCGACAAAATGAAAAACTTGTTGTTCTGATAAAAGTGACACCAATATAATATATAAACCTCATTGATTTAAAGTGGGAACACCTTTTGGATCAAAACAAATTTAATGAATTACAAATTATAATCAACAAATCTCATTGTCCTTCCCATTATTACCATTGTGTTATTATTATTATTGCTACTAATATTATTGCAATTATTGCTATTGCTAACTATTAATGATTGTTCTGTAGTGTAATTATGCTATATTTTCTCAATTATAATAATTACAATAATTTGCATCGTTATAATCAAAAAAAAAAAAAAAAAATCATTCGTTATAGTTTGCTATAAAATTTACACTAACTAAATTTATATTCAGAGAAAAAAGAATTGATAAATTTAAAAAATTTAGTACAAAATATGCAAATTATCGCCAAATGGTGTGAATTAAAAATGTATGTTTATATACAAACAATACTGAGGCTTACACAAAATGTAATGTTTCTTTCAAACGAAAGTCTAAATTACAAATATTGAAAATAGCGATTAGCTTACATAATGGTAACCTCAAGAGGATAAAAGACTGACATTGAAAATGATGACGAATTTTAGATAACACTAATGATACCATTATCAACATCGTTCCATCTTTGCTCCATTGTACTTCTTCATATTTCCGGATTTATTCATCATGCATTCTGATTCATATTATTATCCATTTTACGAAACAATTTGATTCTATTTTAATTTGTTTTCTTTTTTTTTCTAAAAATGGCAAAAAACAAAGAAAAAGAAATGGCTTTGTTTTATTTATTTTTTTTTTTCTAAAGATGGCAATAAATAGTTAAATGCATAAATTATTTTTGCAAAAATTTCTTTCGATTAAAGAGAAATTTTTCTGAAAAAATGTAAACAACTTTTATGATATAAAAACGAAATTTTGCGAAATTTTTCATCCATTAATTTTATTAAAAGGGAAGTAATTCGGGAAGAAAGGAAAAACAAAAGCAAATAGGTTTGCTTATTTTTCAAACTTAAAATCTTATGCACTAATTCTATCTTATCACAATCTTTTCGTTTTTTTCTTTTCTCGTCTTAATTTTTATCAGCCGGTCCATTTGCACTACATTTACTATAGTTATCATTATTAGTGTTATTATTACTGGTATTATTATTATTATTTATTGTTATTATTAGTATTTATTATTACTGTTGTAATTGTTATTTTTACTATTATTATTATTATCATTACTATTATCATTTATTACTACTATTACTATTATTATTTCTGGAAATTTTGATTTGATAGTCACCCGTAAAACTATTGGAACTTTCAGTAAAAATTTATATATTTTTTTATTAGAAATTTTTTATCTTAGCGCATTATTTTAACACGTTAACTAGTTTCAAGCAATGGATAATTGAAAAAGTTTTGTTATTTTTGAGCCGAATATTTGGAAGTAATTTTTTTTTCTGAAACGTTTAAAAATGTTTTCTTTTTTTTAGTATCAGAAGGAAAATGGAAGATGCGTTGTATATTTTTAAAATATTTTGCTATGTTATAAAAGAATTCATCGTCAACAAATTGATAAGAAAACGAAAATTAACTTTCGTGATTTATTAGTAGTTGTTATCATTGTCTAAAAAACCATGCAACATTTTTGATCGCTGAATCCTCTAATGTTCTTTTATGTTTAATTTCATCCAAAAAAGGGAGGAAAAAGCGATTACTTAAGTTTGGATTTTATCTTTTGTATAAAATTAAGTATAAATTAAGATTTTGAAACTTTGATTTCAACTGAATTTTTCGAAATAGCAATACGATAATTTACTTTGGTTTTTCTTTTTTCTTTTCTTTACTTTTTTCTCTGTGAAAGAAGTTTCTTTCTGACAAAACATTCCATCAGCTGAATAAATTAAAAGTGTAAATTTTTAAAAGGTGAAAAAAAATGAACTTAAAATAATGATGACTAATAAGCATTTCAAAATGAAAGTCTGAAATTATATATTTCAATTGTTCATTGAAAAATAATCATTATTCATATTGACGATTGCAAAAAGGAACATCAACATTTTTTGCTTTCAAAGATAGTATGATAGTATCTTTGTATAATAGCGTTATCCATACATAGTAATTTCAACTAATTTATATTTACATTTCAAATTTTAAAAGGAAAAAGAAAAAGAACGTCCAAGCATATAAAAGAAAGAATTTTCATTTTCATACTACAATTATTACGAAATTATAAAAAAAATAATACTAAATATAAAAATATTAAAAATCAATATAGGTCTTCAATGCTCTCACATAGTTTACGATTTTATGCAATAACTGAGCTTTTTTTTTCTTTTGCTATCTAGAAAATTAGTTTAAAATTTTTTAACTGCTTTTTTTGTTGTTTTACTACAAAAATAATTTGTTGGAGATTTCCTTTTAATTGAAATCGGACCACAGAAATTTAGTATAAATACGTGAAAGTATGTTTGGAATATATATATATGTGAAGAATTTTGCTAGAAAACTTATAAAAAGAACTAAATTTTATTCGTTTTAATAATGCATAATGATATTCATAGCAATTACTGACATTTCACATAATCAATAACTTTAATAAATGCATGTCACTTACATTTGGATAGCTTTGCAACGAAAAATTTCCTGCAATTTTCTGACTTATCGACTTATTAAGAGAAAAAATAACCGCAATTTCAAGCAAGATTATTATGAGTTAAATTTCGCTTTAATTTGCACACAACTGAACAATTTTTAAGACTGCATAAAAAAAAATGTAACGAATAAAATCGTAGCACAGATCATTTTTTAATATTACAAACATCCAGCATAGTAATTAAATTTATTGGAATTTCAATTGATTCCGACTAGAATAGTACAGTTTGAATTTTTTTCTCGTAAAAAAAGGAAAAAATCCAATCAATTCGTAAAACAGTAATATATTACTTTGCAGATGTATTTTTTCTTTTCTTCTTTAGTCGATGTCTTATGATTTTCTTTTATAGAAATAACTAATATTCGTAAGAAAAGAAAAAAATTATCCGAAAGGATTATTTTTCGTCTTTTTTCTCAAAAAAGAAAGATAAAAAATAGTTACTTAGAAATGAGAACAAATACAATATATTTGATAGAAGGGAGAGTGAAAACGAAAGCAGGAAGAAATAAATTTCCAAATTATTCATCAATTTTTAATGACAAGTAATTCAAGCGGAAATAAATCAAAGAAAAAAGGAATCCTTTTCCTTAGAAGAAAAAATGAAAATTTTTACTTTGTTATTTATTGAAATATACCAACCTGACGATTTCAACAAGATAGAACTCGTAATAAACCCATTAATAAGTCTTGTAATTTCAAATTATTGTCGCTGATTTGAATAAGGAAAAATAATATGATACACTGTAGGGAATTAAGGATAGGATGAAATGAAGGTTGTGCTAGTTTCGTTCGAAAATAATATATAAGCTAGAAGTAATTCGTAAGATTTTCGAAATTGACAAGAGAAGGAAAGCAATTAATGAGCTTAACCAAAGAATGCAATTACGAAAGTATTAATTAGGTTATATGATGTGAAGAAGTAAAAAGGGTAAGAGATTTTTGGGAGGAAAGATTAGAAAGTAATGTGGAGAATGGATAAGGATAGAAGAAGGAGGAGGATAACGGTTACAGAAGAAAGAAAAAGGAAATGGATTTTAAATTGAGGAGAGGTTATGTGAAAACTTAAAAAAAGGGAAGGAAAAAAAAAACAAAACCAATAATAGAGGGGACAACAACATTCATCTATGGCTTATGTTTATTAGCTAATGCAAAAGGATGGACTGTTCATGAGTTGTTTATCATATTGCGTGTCCTAATTTTCATTTATTCCTCTATTGCACACAATCAATTATTAAATTCTATAAAAATAAAAAAAAAAAAAAAATTCATCGCATAAGCTAAAACTGCTGGAAGAAATAATGAGCGAGTAGAAAGCAAAGTAAATGAACATATACGCACGCAAAGTTAATTAGGCTAAAATTGAACGAACTTTTGTCTCCTTTGAAAACAAAAGAATGTAATTGAGATTAATAAATTCTCTAACATGAAACTGTAAAATGAAAAATTCATCAGGACTAAATTACACACAAAGCTTTTCAAAATCATTTTAAATCTCTACCATTTAGTGAATTTATCAGTAGCCTAGCCAGTCTACTCATTACATACAGGAGCAACTGATCTTCTAACTCTTTCATTTGTGCAATTCATAACAGTTTTTGGATGTTGAAATATGCTTCCACAAACTAATCTGTAAAATGATAATACAAAAGTGACGACAGATATTTTAATTACTCTAATTTATAAAAATATAACCTTAACAGCACCATAAAATAAAAAAGAAAGTAACTATTTTTAAATTCCTATTCTCGAGAAATAATGACATAACACAGCCCACTATACATCTTTAATAATATCATTAATGTAAATAGCACATTAAACGTTGTTTTTTTTTTTTTTAAGAAATCTTTTATGCAACTAGATTTTCTTCCCGATAACAACATATTTGACGAAGGAAATTGGTTTCAAATTCAAATTATATTGAGAGCAAAACAAATTTGAAAGACAATAAGCTATAAACGACATGAAACACTACAATTATTCGTAAACGTCTTTCCTATCACAAATATACTGATAAATATCTCGTGGTGTTTTCATATTCTCAGAATCACCATCCGGAATTTCGAAATGAAATTCATCCTCGATCGCCATGATCACTTCCACGAAATCCAGTGAATCTAATCCAAGATCTTTTTTAAAGTCCGAATCAAGCGTTAATTTCTTTGGATCAATCTGGAATAAATCCATGTAAATACTTTGTCCGAAGTTTAAAACATTGATGGCATGGTCCAAATTTATTATTCAGTAGTTCAAATTTCTGAATGAAAATATAAAATTCACTCCTTGATCCGATGGATAGATTTAATTGAAATCGAAACAGTGTTTCTAAATTTGATTTAAATCCTTTCCGAATTTTGAACTGAATTTTAAGCTTTGATAAAATGCAATAATTCATTAAAGATGCAGCTTGTTCCAGCAACAATATAAATAAGCTTACCTTATCGTATAAACTCAGAACAAGCATAATTCGCTGCTCGACAACTTTCATCGTCAAATGTATATGAGCAGCAAAACGCACCTTAAAAAGTTAAGGAAAATAGAATCTTAACAAAACCATAATGTAGTAGAAAATCAATATAATAGATCTTAAGTACTATGTATATGATTAAATTTGAGAATACTAATTTCTACTAAAGAAATGTTTATTTTCTAATCTTTGGAAACAGTTTTACTTGATTTAAATTTAATTTATTTTGCTGCATGTATCCCGTGCAAATAATGGAAGTTTTCTGCGCCATTACAGTAGGCATTTTCCATGCTGCAATTGCAGCTGAACGAAGGCTACCTCGCACCACTAATACTCTAAGCATTATTTCTGCAAACAGAATAAAATTAAAAGTCTTAAAATAAAACGTCGGCAGAAATAATAATAAACGATTAGTACTTCCGAAACTCAAGTTGAACTAATCTAACTTCGTACCTAATAAATAGAAAATGTGGAACAAACGAAAGAGATTGTAATATGCTTAATAACTCAAAAAATAAATAGCATATACCCTCAAGTCAAAAACTAATGTAATATGCACCTCCCTAAATAATTCTACTCAAGTTGTTAGGTTATATTTGCATTTTCGAAAGAAAGGTAGAGTCCATAAGCAAAAAAAAAAAAAGAAACTAAATCATGGTAACAAAGACATTGTGCCGAATTGTTCCTTTAAAACAGTAAGATCACAGATCAAGTTAAAATCAATTTTGCAAAAAATATCGATTAGGACATATTTTACTTTTCAAATGATTCAAGATATGATAACAACTTTTTATTCAACAAACTATAATCAACTATCTTCGGTATGAACTATGGTTCATCATATCCATACTGTTCCAACATTTGTTCAGCGCACGATCCTTGCTCCAGACGTTTCACAGCCGTTTTGCTGACACCATAAAGATGAACCAGAGCTGCTGCTACTACAAACATATGGAACAATTGGTGTGATTGTAACTAAAAAGAGAACAAAATTATTAAATTTTTATCTTAATAAAAACAAATCCCCTTTTATCATATTTTCATCAAAAAGATATTTAGTCGTAAGCAACTGATTATAAATAAAAAGCATTCAAAATTCACTTCTAGAAAGCGATTCTGTTAAAACAAACCCATAAATCAAATCTTCCAGGAAAACATTTTTCAGGTGTACGTGTAGCGTATAAAACAGCGCCCGCTATGTATAAAATACCCATTAATATAAACCAAAACAATGATGCTTCATTTAAGAGGTATGAAATACCATCATTAATTAGTATGTCTAAAGCTGGCACAACACCTGGAAATATGTATAATATCAAGACTCTTGAATTAATAACAAGTGATAAATTAAATTCATTCAATCATTTTTGAATTGTGATAAGTTGAATTTCAGGTAATGTAGCTTGCTTATGTACGAGAAACAGCTGCATAATTTTAACTATAGCTTACTGCTTAAACCCATTGCTATGAAAATAACAGCTCGTAAAGGTCGGTAATGTGGATGAGCAAATTTATCCCACAGAGACACGATAACTGCAGCAATTCCAAGAACAGAAATCATAGTTAAATACACAATCATAGGCACCAAACGACAATAAAATCCATAATAAATCCATGGAATGAAAGAACCAACAATAAGTAAGGTAATACCAGTATAATCCAATCTAAAACATAATATTCACAGATAACAAAATCATTTCAACCTTTACACGTTGGTTCAGCTAAATAGTGACGATTAAACTTAGTATGAAGAACCAATAATTTTTTCTTCGACATCTAACAAACATTCAATGATATGTCAAATTAAGTACTTTTTGTAATTACCATAGCCATTCAGTTTTTACTTCAGCAAAAATTTGTTACAAAAAATTCTCGTTTTCATTTGAAATAAGTAATATTATCTTAATACAACCAAAAACTAAAATCATACTTAATACCATAGAAAAATAAAACAAAAGTGTGAACATAGAGTTACAGAAACTATTCTTCTCGGTCTAAATCTGGCTTCAACACATACCAACCGATATAATGATTGAAACATTTAGAATAGTCAAATTATTCCAAGTTTTATAACTGAAATGACAACACAAAACAAACTTGCTAAATAGTTTTCCAACTCCAGCAGAATGGCATTGCACTGTATGGAATGCAAACGATAATCCCAAACAAGCCACTGCACCGACAAAATATGTCCCAAAAACAATTTTATCTTCCGACTGCACCAGTGTTGATGGACGAGTTAAAAACCAGGCTGCAGCTCCAATGAATGCCAAACATCCTAGAATCAAATTAATAACATAGTAATTCATCCATTAAAATTATTTCAACTTTCAACATAATTTTGGATCAAAAATGTGCAGAAAAAAGTTTGAGGATACTAGCACCCGCCTTCATCCAAATTTTCTTCAATTTACTTTCAAGCGCGATCAAAATCTAATAAAAAATGTTGAAATTAACTAACCATACATATGAGTCCAAATGTTACCAGTTTCCGTATGTAGAGAAAATATACTTTTGAAGCACGAGCCAAAGCTCGGTAACGGTGGCCTATGTCCCGTACGCAGATACTCGTTATCTTGCAACCATTCTGGAAGCAATTCAAAATTCGTAGCTTTCCATCGTGCTTCCCAAACCTTAAATAATTTAGTTCTTGGACTGACTGCTAAAGAATAATATATTCCAAAAATATACGAAATGACACGTTTAAAAGGTAAATAAATAACTGAAGGAGATACCCTTCTAATAGCAACTCTTGCACCACCTTTGGAATTTTCTTCATTTGGAAGAACATCCACTTCATTGATTTTCACCTAAAATCAATATATAATATGCAAAAAAGCAAAGTTTCTCACATATACAAGGAAAAAGATCAGTACAAAAATTATACAGGGACTGTTTATTCCTATTTTATCTTCTAATCAAGAAATCGTCGATAAATCAAAAAAAAAAAAAAAAAAAATAATGAATAGCATGCTTTCCAGTAAAAATGTTTCCCAAATGCTTGAAATGCGAAAAAAGCATACAGTAAGGTCAGCGTCATCATCTACCGAAACTGGTACCATAACTGGCAATCCATTCGAAATATAAGTTACTGTTTTCATTAGCTCGTTTACTGTCTTCTCCGGTGCATACGTCTGAAATCGTGCAGTATAATTTTTTTTTAATTATGAAAATATTTCTTACAAAGATATAGATTTGATAAGACGAAATTATATTTTCATTTGGACTGTACAGTTATGACCAAATTTCCAGAAAAATAACAAATTTCATATAATAAGCAAGACAGTAATCGGGAAATCACTCACCTTGACGGTCATTCGCGTACGGTCACCACTAGCATTTGGTACTGAAAAAGCTCGTCTATGACCATGATTAAATTTTCGTATATATTTCCCCGCTTCATTGACTGGACCCATCATTTCTAGAAATCTGAAAAGCACAATTTCATTTGGCTTCAACAATGCAATAAAAAAAAAGAAAGAAAAAAGATGCTTGCAACTGTATGAAAAAGAACTGGTGTAAACAAATCAGCAATGTTTACCTCTTATCTCTGTAGCACAATACAGTACTACTAAAACGGCAAAACTGTTCCAACAATGTAATAGTGTCATTACCCAGTACCAAGTACAATTAGGCCAAGTCCATGTAACACAACATACATCAGCGCCAAGCATATTAAGATTGAGCTGGTGAAGTGAAGGACAGCGGAAGAGAGGGGTAGGGAGGTATGTGAGGAAATAAAATGATAGGAATTACATCAAAAACATAATCTTTTGTCCAGGCTTTTCCCGTCTTACATTTCATAATTTTACTACATATAGGACTGATATGAACATATATAACTTCTCAATCATAAAATACTTACATATATTAGAAAATGCATAAAAACACAGTAATAGTTCAAATAAGTAGTCCAAGTAATAATTCCATGTAAACGTTATCGAAATACAATTACCCGTTAGTATGCCTCAATCCCAATGAGGCATGTATGATACAAGTCTGAAATGAAAAAAAATGTGGGATGTGACTCAAAACTTTGAAATCTATAGCGGCCTCTAGACATTCCACAGAAATAACTCATACCTCTTCTGCTAGTGAAATGAGTTAATTCAAAAAAATACCAACTGCTTTTCTAAATTCCCTGATGGAAATACATGAAGCATGGAAATGAAATAGAGCAATTAAATACAGGATAGTATAAGAAGAAATGAAGAACAGCCACTTTTTTTAAGGTTTTAAAGCAATGCATACCTCAATGAACACCACATTCTAAAATTATCAAGAAAACTCAAAGTTTCAAAGACTAAACAACTTTTTTTCCATACATTAGAACACCCAAAGAAGCGCTAATGTTTATCCCAGCCAACATAGCCTGACCAGCAACCAACTGTGGCAAGTGAAACTTTACCACTTCCAATATCTCTCAGAATCTCATTCACTATAACATTACTTTATCTTACTCGAAAAACATAAAGTAACTATCGGGGACACAAATTCATTAAAAATATGCGAAGTAATGGTTAAAATCCCGAAATTCAACAAGAAATGTTCTTCTGTGCATATTTTATCACTTAGTACCACATGCTTGGAAAAAATAAAAAAATTGGCAACTTTGGAAACCATTGAATTACAGTTGAAGTTTTAAGATGCATGAACTGGAATTTTGAAATGTCAATCATTTTAATTTAAACACTGGAAATTCCTTGAAGCATAAATTATGCAATTTTAATGACTGGGAATTTACCTATGAATAAAACATGATGAATTCTTGGGGATGTAAGAGAACCAGGCCACATAATACAGTGCAAACTGGAAGTTAAATCAGTAAACTGATGTGTTTTTCTTTCGAAAGATTTAATGAAATATAATGACACAGCATTAATCGTTTCGTCTAAGAAAAAAAAAAAAAAAACTTGTCTATGATTTGATGAAATTACCAAACTTAGCAAACAATATTCTTCCTCATTTCTCACGAAAAATTTTGACCGAAATTTCAAAAGTAATAATTTTACTTTTGAAATTTCTCAAAACGAAAAGGACTGATGTTGTGGATAAAAGGAACAAAAGATTTTTGAATTTCGATAAACTAGTACGCAAGAAGAAAAAAGCACTACATAAAAAAGAGTAACACTTCAATTTTTAAAAAGAATTCCAGACGGTAACACCTTCAAATTCACACTATAAAAAGAAAAAATGGAATATGATATATACACAACAAGCTTAATAAACACCCCAAAGCGTTATTTTCAATAATAAAAATTATATAAATTTGAATTTTTTATCCAAAATGAAGCTGAATTTCCATAAGAACTCGATAAAGCATCAGAACCCAAAATGAAATTTCTTTGAGATTCTAAATCGTAAAATACGAAAAGTCTTAAAAGAGTACACCCGTTTACTGCTTGTATATTTGTCGAAATTGCTGCAACAATTTAAAAAAAATGTGACAAAACTTAAAGAAGCGAACAAGTGCAGACACAGGCTGTCCCATCACTGAAACAAACAAAATGAGCTTATTCTGATAAAGCTTTGTAAAATGTCAATACAGATGAATTTTTTAAAAGCATGATTAACATTATAGACATAACATATCTTTTAGCAAATAGTTGCCTGCTTGCTGTAGTTTGTATATTGAAAATAAGCAAGAAACAAAAAAGTGAGAAAACGAAATACACTTCCTAACTGAAATAATTCGAAATTATAAAAGCAAAAATTTTAAAGACAACATTAAATAGCAATGAAATGACTAGAGAAAATTAAAATTAAATTGAAATTAAAGAATTCGTAAAGCATGCTTGATTTGTACATAGCAAGAGAAAATAGAAAAAAAAGGCTAAAGCTTTTTGCAACGCTAAAATAAATGATGACCTAGCTTTAATCACATGAAAGACATCGGATTATGGTATGAGGGAATCTTTGAAAAGCTTACTTGTAATTTTCAATAGATTTGATTAAACTATCCTCAACATACCAAATCAAATACAGCAGAATTGTGCAGTTTGAATCATGCTATTAGAAAGTAAAAGATGTGAAATAGATCAGACAGTTTTTTTTTTTTTTTTTTTTTTTTTTTTTTTGGAAGACACAGATAACCAGAATTGTAAAGCTAATGGAGTGAAGTCTTAAAGCTCTCAATTTTATGTACAAACACAAGATAAGCAGGCTATAATAAGCAAGAAATATAATCAATATTTTTTCCTAATAAAGTAGAACAAGGGAACATCATAAACAAAATAACTAAAGATCTGATGGTGGTAAAATTAAAAATATATTAAAATTAAAAAATAAAAGATTATGAATGAGCAATAAAAGTACTGCTAATAAAAAAAGACTCAAAAATAATTATTAAAAATTTTCGAGAACGCTCTTTTCTGCATATTTCTGAAACAAGAATAGAAGAATGAGGATATAATTAATATAAAGTTCCATTAGCAAGAGAAAGGAGTAAAATATGCTTAAACCACCATGTTAACTTGTGTTGTTTCCGTTAGCACACCACTATCTCTTTCACTCGCGGGCTGCTTTTCAATTGTTGTTGCAGCCGAATCACTCTAAAAGATACTGGGAACGATTTGTTTCAAAAAATAACATGGAGCGCAAGTATTCCTTATTTAAAATTTTTAAAAAATAAACTATTCCAGTGCTAATAAACTTTTTGAAATTCATAAATTTTATTAAATGAAATCCTTGCAACCAACAAAAGCGAATTTACCAACCTTTACAGAAGAATACTGCCTTGAGTCTTTTCGCTTTCCCATGAGCAAAATTACGGAGCATATACCAGAAGCTAGTAAAAGGAAGGTGATGGCGCAAATAGCAAGTGAGTATTGCAAACTTCTATCAATTGAAATCTTATCAATATCTTCACGTCTCTTGTTCCAGTCCTCTTCAGCACCCATTTCAACAACTAACGTCGAAGACACCCGTGAAAGTACCTCATTACCTACTTTAAATTCGCATCCGTAAACGCCACTGTCTGAAGCTCGCGCCTGAATGCAAATTACAGAACTTCGAAAGTTTAAAGACTCAATTTTAAAACTCAAAGAGGAAATAAATACCACTTCCAAAATGAAAACACATAGAAATGATATAAATTAAAATTGAAATTTGACATACTTCACTTAGCACCAGCAACTGATTGCCAGCTTTAAAGGCTAGACGTGAAGAAGCTGTATTGGGATCAATTAAACGACCATCACGCAACCACTGCACTGACACACGAAACTGTTTATTGATTGAACAATTGAAAATTACCGTCGCTCCGGAATGTACTTTACGATCCTCAAGTTGTGGCCAGACTTTATCTGATATGCAAATTTCGAAATATAATTCGATTAGTGTAATACAGAAAATTCGCAAGTCAAGAAGAAAAAATTCATCTATAAATGAAGTCAAAACTAAACTGAATAGAACATAAAATAAAAAATCCAAACTTCTACCAGTAGAAATTACTCCAAAATAAACCGAAAAAATAGTAGAAAGTAACAAACAAATTATGATTACCATAAACAAGAACGTGTGCCGAACTTTCCACATGTCCAGCTTCATTGCTTACACGACACGTATAAATACCCGTATCTGCTAATGAGACATTGACCACATATAAATTATCATCATTAGCTTTCACGTGTAAGCGTCTTTCCACAGCAGCTGGAAATGAATCGCCACCATCTTTCATCCACTTAATGACTGGGGTCGGAACGCCTTAAAAGATTTTGGAGTGAGAAATAGGAGTTACAGGGTATGGGAAAAGAGAGAGAAGAGGAAAGATTCGAAAAAAGACCCTTCACTGTTTAAATGATTTCAAACCTAAAAACTTTTTTCCACACTAAACTGGAAGAAAGTGCTATAAGCTAACTAAACAATACAAGGTGTCTCATAAAACCTACTTAAAAATCTTGGAGTAACACAAGTAAAAATACTTATGTTACAAGCTTTATAAAACAAAAATGCATAGAAATGCTTACCTTGTGCAGCGCATCTTAACCTAGCGCTGCCACCACGAACAATCGATACATTTGACGGTGAATAACGAATTCGCGGTTTTTGTAGGACCATTAATTTCACTCTGTAAACGAGAAAATTATTCAGATTATTGAATAAAAGAAAATCAGTGGTGACAACTACCTTTGGCCTAGACAAAACGGGTGCGTTTTGACCCACTGAATTATTGACAGATGGATGAAACTAGCAAAAAACGCAAAGTTTTACTTCAAAGAATATGCCGAGCCATAATGATTCCGTACAATACATTGATATTCCGCCTGATCACTAAAATCAATGTCACTGAGTTGCAATTCACTAAAAAGATATTCCATTGCAAGTCCTGTAGCCGTGCCTAAAAGATGCTTTAAATTATTTTATTTAGATTCATGAAGGCTTTATGAAGACTTAGCCAATAATTATAGAAACTAAC